CTGGTGGCCAACAGCGTGGTGGCGGCGGCCGTGAACGTGGCGGGCGTGTGGCTGCACCAGATGATGGAGGCGGCGCAGCGCAAGGCTTTCCTGGACACGCGCAATTGCATCGCCGCCCGACTGCACATGGAGGATGAAAATGACAAACTGGTGAGTACAGGTGGTGGTGGTGGTTTCGTACCTGGCGTCGCTCGTCTGCTTCGCTCGTTGGTGGGGGTGGGGGTGGGGGGTGGTACGCGGGGATGACCCATGTCATTCTCGTGTTTTTTTTTTTTTTTTTTTTTTTTTTTTTTTTTTTTTTTTTTTTGGGGGGGGGGGGGGTGTTAGTATAATTTGGATTTGTTTGTGATCTAGGGTTTGATCTTTGTTATTGATGCTCATTGTTGGGAGATATCTATTCCCAGTGCGGTATATTACGGTTGGGTTTTAACATATTTGTTCCCAGACACTTTAAAGCGCCATCTTGAACTTCTAGTATTTCCTTCCTCCTCAGCATTTCTTTCTACTGAGTATGAAGTCTTATTTCATTATTTCTTTCCTCGCGTCTTTCGCTTCAGTCTGGTCTCCTCTTGTGTTATTTTCTTGCCGGCAATGATCTTAAAATAATGTATTTAATCCCCGAATTTGGCGCCGTTTTTTTTTTCCCAACCTGTCTTCCGATTTTTCAAATTCCATTGATTCGCAAAGGCTCGGTGCCCTCTTGCTGCTGCTGCTGAATTTCCTTCTAGATAAATTGATATTGCTGGATGTGGACAGCTGGATGCAACACTTGCAACATTTCCTGATGTTCAGCGTGCGTTCGGCATTTGTCTGCCTTGTATTTCCAGGACATGCACGTCGCTTGGCATTGGAATCCTTGTCTTGTGCTGTTCAAGGGCTTCCGCTGCTGGTTTAAGGTGTGCTCTGTTGAGGCACTGGCAGGATTGTATGTCGGGGCGCTCCATATTTTCTCCATTTTCCTTTTTTTTATTATTTTAGATTGTACCCCGTCTCTCTATCTATCTCAATCTCTATCACTATCTATTTTCCTCCCTGCCTCTCTTCCTCCTCCCCTCCCTCCTTCCTCTCCCCTTTTCCTTCTCCCCTCTCTCCTCTCCCCTCTCTCCTCTCTCCTCTCTCTTCTCTCCTCTCTCCTCTCCTCCTTCCTTCCCTCCCTCCTTCCTCTCCCCTTTTCCCTCTCCCCCCCCTCCCCCCCCTCCCCTCCTCCTCCCTCCCTCCTCCCTCCTCCCTCCCTCCCTCCTTCCCTCCCTCCCTCCTTCCTCTCCCCTTTTCCCTCTCCCTCCCTCCTTCCTCTCCCCTTTTCCCTCTCCCCCCCTCTCCTCTCCCCTCTCCCCTCTCCCCACCCTTTTTTCTCTTCGTCATCCCCCTGCCCTCCTTAGGAAACCCTCTCCAGATGTACACATGTGCGGGTGCTGTCGCCGGAAGTCCTCCGCAGGAACCTTAATGCCGAGTGGCAGGTAAGAGGGTGTAATCAGGGAGAGAGGGGGGGGTGGGGGTATTCACGGAGGCCTATCCCCGCCTGGGCCCTCGGGTCACGGAGCGGCCGCCGCGTGCGTCTTCGGCAGGGCTTTGGGGTGGCTGGTTAGCTCTCTCTCTCTCTCTCTCTCTCTCTCTCTCTCTCTCTCTCTCTCTCTCTCTCTCTCTCTCTCTCTCTCTCTCTCTCTCTCTCTCTCTCTCTCTGTCTCTCTCTCTCTCTCTCTCTCTGTCTCTCTCTCTCTGTCTCTCTCTCTCTCTCTCTCTCTCTCTCTCTCTCTCTCTCTCTCTCTCTCTCTCTCTCTCTCTCTCTCTCTCTCTCGTCTCTCTCTCTCTCTCTCTCTCTCTCTCTCTCTCTGTCTCTCTCTCTCTCTCTCTCTCTCTCTCTCTCTTCTCTCTCTCTGTCTCTCTCTCTTTGTCTTCTCTATCTGTCTCTCTCTCTCTCTGTCTCTCACTCTCTCTCTCTCTCTCTCTCTCTCTTCTCTCTCTCTCTCTCTCTCTCTCTCTCTCTGTCTCTCTCTGTCTCTCTCTCTCTCTCTCTCTCTCTCTCTCTCTCTCTCTCTCTCTCTCTCTCTCTCTCTCTCTCTCTCTCTGTCTCTCTCTGTCTCTCTCTCTCTCTCTCATGAAGTCTGTTGATCCCAAGGGTGAAGGCAGGGGAGGGGGCATGGGGAGATGTAAGGTAGGAGGGGGGGAGAGGGACTCTGGAATGTTTTATTTTTGTCTTTTCAGGATTTGTATACGAGAGGCACATTATTCAGCATTTTGGCTTTGGTTTCTCAGAATCTGTGTTTAATGATTCGCAGTAACTGATGCACAGTTTGTCTAAGTATGAATGTGATTACGTAAGCTAGATATGAATAGAAAAAATTGTTCAGTTCGAAGTTATACAATTTGATTGAATGAAGTAACATAGCTGAATGAAAGTAAGAGGTTGACACGAATTAATACAGCGCAATCTTATGACTTTTAAATGGAATCATAATGTTAAAGCTCCTTCTTTTACTTTGTTGACAGTTAATTATAATTTAGTATAGGCCTATGTGAAGGAGGGGGAGGAAAGAAGGGGGGGGGATAGATAAGAAGAAAGAGGGAAAGGAAAGGCAGGAGGTAAGAGGTAGGAAAAGAAGGGAAGAAAGAAAATGTAGATAAGAAGGGAAAGGTGTATAAGAAAGGTAGGAGGTAGGAGATAAAGAGAAAGAAGGAGGGAAGAGGAAAGGGAGTTAGGTAAGGAATAGAGAGGAAGAGCTGAAAGGAAGGGAGGTGAGAAGGAAAGAAGAGAAAGAGAGACGGAAAATAATAAGTAAGGAAAGCAAAGTAGACAGAGAGAGAAGAGGGGGGGGTGAAGGATTTCATGATGGGTAAAGAAATAAAGAGTGATTTGTAGTTTAAGATGTAGATATCTTAGACGAAAAAGATATAGTTATTGCTTTTGAAGACGTTGGTGAAAGTTAATCTTAATGATATCGGTGTTATATGATGGAATGAATAATAATAAAAAAAAAAAAAACTGTATACGTAGAAGTCGAAGATACAATAAACCTAAGAAAGAAGAGAACCTTTAGAAAAAATATCAATATTTATACATAATTCCTGTGACGAATAGGTCGAGCTTCCAACGAGTCAAGTGGAAAAAAGTTGAGGCCGGAAGGACAGATGATCCCGGGATAACACGAGAGATTGAGCGCAAAGTGGAGCGTATAAAGTGGAGGAGGAGGAAGAGGAGGAGGAGGGGGAGGAAGAGGAAGAGGAGGAGGAGGAGGAGGAGGAGGAGGAGGAAGAGGGGGGAGGAGGAGGAGGAGGAGGGGGAGAGGAGGGGGAAGAGGAAGAGGAGGAGGAGGAAGAGAAGGAGGAGGAGGGAGAGGAAAAGGAAAAGACGAAGGAGGAAGAAGAAGAAGAAGAAGAAGAAAGAGAAGGAGGAGGAAAAGAAAAAGAAGAAGAAAAAGGAGGAGAACGAGAAGGAGAAGAAGAGGAGAACGAAGAGGTGAAAGAAGAAGAGAAGTGGTGGTGGTGGTGTTGGAGATGGTGTAGATGGTGATGGAAATGAAGACGAAGGTGAAGGTGGAAGTGGAGATGAGGAGGAAGATGAAGATAAAGATATAGATGAAGGTAATGTTGAAGGAGCGGAGAAGGACAAGTAAAATGTTGATGACGACGAGGAGGAAGAGGCGAAGAGTAAAATGGAGAAGGAAAGGAGAAAGAAGAAGTAGTAGTAGAAGTAGCGGATCTAGAAGTAGACATCAAAGAGGAAAGGAAGAGGAGGAAAAGGAAGGAGGTGAATAATAAAAAAAGTCTTAAAAAATACAAGAAAAGGGAAGACAAGGATAGACAAACGGAGAGAAAGATAAAGCCAGATTTATAGCGACATATCATTCCGTGTTTTTTTTTTTTCCCGAGCTCATAATAGAAAGCAAATGAAAACGAACAGCATGCGACAGCCAGGGCGCGTCCAAGGGGCAGACAGACGTCCCTAATCAGTTCGTCTTGTGCCAGCGAGACACCGTGCATGGCAGTGGCGGCGATAAGGTGCGAACCGCGAGGCTGCTTTTGGCTCAGCCTCGCGGTCAGTCAGGGCTTGCTGCCTCGTCGCGCTGGATCCCCTTCAACGGGACTTTGTATGGCTTTTTTTAATTTTCATTTTCTCCCTTTTCTACTTCTTCTCCTTTTCCTCTCCCTCTTTCTCACCCTATCTTTCTCCCTCCTCCTCTTCCTTTGTCTGCTCACCCTCCTTCTCTTCTTCCTCCTCCTTCTCTTTTTCTTCCTCCTCCTCCTCCTCTTCCCCTTCCTCTTCCCCCTCCCCCTCCCCCACCCATTCCTCTCCCACCTCCTCCTCCTCCTCCTCCTCCTCCTCCTCCTTCTATCCCTTTCTCCTCCCCCTCCTCCATCACCTCCTCCTCCTCCTCCTCTTCCCCTTCCTCCTCCTCCTCCTCCTCCTCCTCCTCCTCTTCCCCTTCCCCTTCCTCCTCCTCCTCTCCCCTTCCTCTTCCTCCTCCCCCTCCTCTCCCCCTCCTCTCCCCCTCCTCCTCCTCTACCCATCTCCTCCTCTTACCCTACTCTCCCCCTCTTCCGTCTCCCCCCTCCCCCCTCCCCTCATTTGTGCAATGTCTCTCCACGAGCGCCAGCTGCTCATGGCACCGCGCGGCCTCACGTGCCACTCGGCTTGCTTCCTCGGTTCCTCGGCAGCCACGGGAACAAAAGCAAACGCCAGGGAAAAATGTCTTGGTTAGATCAGTCGGGTTTGAACTTTGTTTCATATTCAGCTCTCTTTCTCTCGATTCATTTTTGTTATCTTTCTTAATAAGGTCTCTTCTTGTGTGTTTTGCTACTTTGTTTTCATATATATGTGTGTGTGTGTATGTGTGTGTATTTGTGTGTGTGTGTGTGTATGTGTGTGTGTGTGTGTATTTGTGTGTATACAGAGAGAGAGAGAGAGAGAAAGAGAGAGAGAGAGAGAGAGAGAGAGAGAGAGAGAGAGAGAGAGAGAGAGAGAGAGAGAGAGAGAGAGAGAGAGAGACGCACACACACACACACACACACACACACACACACACACACACACACACACACACACACACACACACACACACACACACACACACACAAACATACACGCGCGCGCGCGCATGAATGCATGTATTTGTTTATGTATATTACGTTATTTGCAAAGCTGCCTTTGTTTCGGCAAAAAATATGTGGGTGAAAATAGACTTGGGCCTAATGGCGCGGGTAGAGGGATAGACAGGTAATAAAGAGAGAGATAAAGGGGGATGAGGAGAAAAATGATGCCAGGGATGATGAGAGGGAGGCAGGTGGGGCGAAGGGAGAGGGTGATGGGCAAGGGTGATTAGGGTGCGTAATAGGGAGATACGGGGAGGGGCACTGGAGGGGGGGGGGAGGGGGGAGGGGGGAGACTTTTATGGGGAGCACGGAACACGCCCCTCCGCATAAAAAAAGACGAGAAAAAAAATAGACAAATAAGGGAGAGAGAGAGAGAAAAAAACAAGAAATAAAGTCTCGAGGCAATTCCGTAGGCCTCGGAAGACGTGGGCGGAGGTAGAGATATTAGAAAGTGAAAAAGGAACAAAAAAAAGGGTGGGAGGGAGAAGAAAAAAGACCGATAATTGAAGGCGTTTTACAGAGACAAAGGCATTTTTTTTTTAATTTAACGAAAAGAAAAATATATCTGAATATAGGGTTGAAAGAAACAGGGAGCAAGTATAGAAAAGAAACCAGAGTTGATTAGCCAGGAAGAGGAACGAGAGAAGAGGGCGAGTAGAGAGATGAGGCAATAAATGAGAAGAGGCAGATGAGTAGAGGGGGGGGAGAGGTTATGGGGGGGGAGGTGACGAGGGTCAGGATCACACGCTGATACGGCGAGAGGACTGAGGGGAGAAAAGGGTACAGTGAGGGGAGAGGGACAGGAGGCGTTCGTATTTCCGTTCGTTATTTCGTTCGTATATTTCGTGATGTTTGGCTGTCTTGTGTATCACCTTTGTTTATTTTTTTTCTCTTTTATTCTTTCGCTTGTTTCGGGATGGTTGACTGTCTTGTCTGTCACCTTTTTCTTCTTCGTCTTCTTCTTCTTCTTCTTCGTATATTTCGTGGTGTTTGGCTGTCTTGTGTATCACCTTTATTTATTTTTACTCTTATTCGTTCGTGTATTTCATGATTTTTGATTGTCTTGTCAGCCACCTTTTTCATCTTCTTCTTCTTCTTCTTGTTCGTAATATTTCGTGCCTATCACATTTATTTATTTTTACTCTTTTATTCGTACTTCGTGATGGTTGACTGTCTTGTCTGTCACCTTTTTCTTCTTCTTCGTCTTCTTCTTCTTCTTCGTATAGTTCGTGATGTTTGACCGCCTTGTCTATCACCTTTTTATTTTTACTCTTTTATTCGTTCGTGTATGGTTCGTGATGGTTGACTGTCTTGTCTGCCACCTTTTTCTTCTTCTTCTTCTTTTTTTTCTTCTTCTTCTTCTTCGTCTTCTTCTTCTTCTTCTTCTTCTTCCTCTTCTTCATCATCTTCTTCCTCTTCTTCTTCTTCTTCTTCTTCTTCTTCTTGTTCGTAATATTTCGTGGTGTTTGACCGCCACGCCTATCACACTCGCCCATGCTGTTTTCATCATCTTCGGTCGTGGATGTGCTTCCTTGCTGAATGAAGTGGAGCTCCGCCTCGTTCTCAGCCGGAGTTTTTTGCGATTCAGAAAAAAACAAAAAACAAAAACAAAAAAAAATATGCAAGGCCGAGCGTGATAAGAAGACGGATGATTCATGGGATTATTCATGGCATTTTGGATTTATTATCGCGAGTCAGTGTTCATCGGTCTTAAGGCATGAATAAGAGAATTTGCATGGAGGAGTGAGGCTTTGGTTAGGGGAGGGGGAGGGAGAGGGAGGGGGAGAGGGGAGGAGGGATGAGGAGGAGGTAGGAAGGATGGGGAGGGAGAGGGAGAGGGAAGGTGGGATGAGGAGGAGGTAGGAAGGATGGGGAGGGAGAGGGAGAGGGAAGGTGGGAGGAGAAGGAGGTAGGAAGGATGGGGAGGGAAAGGGATAGGGAAGGAGGGAGGAGGAGGAGGAAGGAAGAATGGGGAGGGAGAGGGAAGGAGGAAGGAAGGAGTAGGGAGGGTAAAGGAAGAATGAGAGGAGTGAGTAGGGAAAGGTTAGGGGGGGTAGAGGAAGAGGTGGGAAAGAGAAGGAAAAGGAAGGAGGGAGGAGGAAGATCGAATAGTGAGGTGGGAGGGGAAGTGGGGGAAGGAGGAGGAGGAAGGGGGCAAGGAAGGAAATAGCGGAGTAGGCAGGAGGGGATTGGGGGAGGGAAGGGAGGGGGGCTGAGCGCGATTGGAGGGCGATCGGGAGCGAGGATATAGTATCGTCATTTCCGGGTGATCCGAGAGTCAATATTTACAGCGCACTCGAACAGCATCCCCTCCCCCCTCCCCCTCCCCCCTCCACTCCTTCCTCGTACCTCGCTGGTCAACATTATCACCACGACCACGGAACGACCCCTTCCCCCTCCCTTCCCTCTCCC